AAAAAAGTACAAAATGCTAGTTGTATAGATATATATTTTATACAAATTTACACATATCTGACTATATACTATATACATATACATATACTATATACTGACTCTGTACTATACAAATGTGCCATATACTATATTTGGGTCTGTGTGCATGTACAGTAGGCATGTACACATACATATATATTTATATGTATTTGAATATATATGTGTGTGTATATATATGGGTGTGTCTTTTTAAATGGCTTTAAAATATAAATGTGACGTTGGTTTATATTCATCCTTCTCCTCACTGTTCAATGTTTTTTTTTTCTTTTTCCCCCCCAGAATATCCAATTCTAATCACAATCACAAAATTCAGAAGTGTTCTGGGATGTGCATATTAAAAGTAATCAATAATTAATAGTTTATATCTAAAATCCTTCAAATTGAAGAAGATAGAAAACAAGAGCAAACAAAAAAAAAAAAAACAAACACCACTGTTGGTTCCTTTTGTGCCTGGCATAGTGATTTTTGCAAAAAAGGAGTTTTAGGTCGATGATTTATTAGCCATGTCTTGTCTCAAATAACTAAAGTCCTGCAGCTTTTTTTTTTTGTTTTGGGCTAAAAATCCGTTTCTTTCCCCCACTGAACAAAAAAACCTCCTTTTACAACATGATATTTATTTAACATTTTTACCTTAGAAAAAATATGAAAAGATAAACTTATTGTTTTATGAATATATATATATATTGTATTTAAACATGTTTACATGAAGCCCTGTCTGTCATGCTTGGGTTTTGTGCGTGCGTGTGATCGAGACCCAGATCGTTTCATGTGCTTTCTGCAGTTAATGAGATCCTAATGATGTGCATCTGTGATTAAGCGTTGGCAGACTGCAGACTGGGTCCCATCTCTGACTATACATCTAAGACTGGGAGGAGAAAAGGGCTGATTAATCATGAAGCTCTGCTCTGTTCTTCTCTGTCTCTCACTGCGCCTCAAACTGCAGCAGTGCATATTGATTTTGCCTCACCTAAACATTTGAACTATATTTAAACCATATTATTTTTTTTTATTATTATTAGTGTTTCTTCAACCTGAAAGCAATTTTCATTCGGCGGAATTTTTCGAGCCAACACTGCAGATTGTTACCGTGGCGAAGGCTAGGAACCAGGTCTGAGACTCGGTAATGATGTTTTCGCAACGGCGGAATATTCTCAGCACAAACGTGGGCCGTGCCCTCTGGGGGAAACGGACGACCTCTGCGGAGGAACCTGGAGGAATTCCCCAGTGTATGGGCAGAGTTAAGCTGGCCCCCCTCTCCCTTGACCGCGCGGAGCACGGCGATGTCTCCATATGCTGGGTCAGACGGGTCGCAGCCCGGACGCGGCCGAGCAGCTGTGACCTTGTGGGACGCTCAGCGTATGCTAAGGTGGTGGCATACGGTGGGAGACTGATGAGAATCCAACTGAGGAGAACTACTCCAACAGGAGCGCTAGCACTTTTACCGCCTGTGTGACGAGATTCTATATATAATAGCACATATGTCTCCCCTCTTTTTCCCCCCACTCTCTCCCTTTTTTTGCCCAGGCAGATAGATGAACACCGAGTCTCTGCTGGAGTTTTTTTTACTGTTCACTGTTAAAGGATAATTTTAATTTTAATTCTAATTTCTAAACTGTAGAAAAACATTATGACAGATGTGGCATCTTTAAAAGTACAAGTAAAGGGATATGACTGTTTTTTTATTTTTTGGATAAAGGGATATGACGCAAAGTAAATATGTAAAACGGAGGTACATTTTTTAACTGTGTACCAAATGACATTTGGACCGGCACCGGTCCCCGAACCAGGGGTTGGGAACCCCTGATA